AATTAATGGTTTCTAGCACCTTGCTGGAAAATATGACAAGCGAGCTTCGTGACTATTTGTACGAACAGGTTTAAAGAGTTCATTAGTGTCCATTATCAATACTCCCGAACAGGTTTAGTGGAACCCTCTCCTGCTCCAACGGTCTTAATACAGAGAGAGGCAGCGACTATATAGTGTGGTGAGAAATGATGAGCACCTTGATTAGCTAGAGTTCCGATAATGTTTGAAGTAGAAGCTCTGTATTCGTTTGGACTGTTGTAAATATCGACATCCATAACTACGATTACGTCACCTTCACGACATAAACTTCTCTTGTGAGCAGGTATTGATTGTTACGTTATTTGTTTGTGAGAGTAACGTCATCAATTTTTGGTAAAACGACGTAATTTTCTCACACAAACCAATGGCGTAACAGACAGAAGACTGTTCTGCATCCGTAGGGTGCACCAGTGCCAAAAGGACTGCTGCAGTGTTCTCGTTAGTATAGATTTCCCTTCGTGCTGCTCTTTTTCATAGTGTGGAGGATGTGACACTCAATAATTATAGAAAGAAAACTGTCAATATGTATATATGTTTATCTTATTGAAATAAGAAACTATATTAACATGTAATAACAAATATTTAGTAGTTCCTACAACTAAAGGAGTGTTGGATAACCCCAAGCGTGGCTGGAAGTGATAAAATCCGAAGCAATTAAGGAAGAATCAAGAATAATTGCGAAGGTCTTGAAAATAAAACAAGCACTCAGTTAATAGTTTTGTCTTCAGTTTATTATTAATTTATCACAAGACTGCTGTATGAAAATACAGTTAATGTTGAAAGTGACAGGCTGACTAGAAATGTAACATACACAGAGGGTAAATTATTTTAAGATAACATTAATTAATCAACTATCTTAAGTTTGCCATTAATGACAGTCTGTCCTCTGCATTCTTTTCAACAGTATTCACATAGTAGACGGGTCAAGATGTCATTTTCAAGCATGTTTTAAAGACATCTTGTTACACGTCCCTCAACACGTATTATCTTTAAACTGCATGTATCACTTTATTCTTCAGATATGTCAAATCTATCCTGAAGGGAAGGGGTCGATTATCGTTCTTAAAAGTTCATTGAAAAACATCGCATTATAGACCATTTAGTGGAATATACCTATCAGGCTGTCACACATGAACGATTGTTTTAATCTATTTAAAAATGAACCATGTATCAGTTTTCTTATTAATTGAGATATTAATGAGATTTAATCAACTATAAGCTAGCAATTAAAATTTAAGTGTTCAGCCCGGGACACTACAAAACACTAGATTGATATTATTTGTAACAAAAACGTCTCTAATAGTTACTTATTAAGACAATATTGATAAAAATGAATCTATCTTTTTCTTAGGTAGTGAATATTCTTCAAACATAGCTAGCAATCTGATAATAGACAAACCATTTCAATATGTGGATGAATTAAATATTTATTAACGAACATTTTACTATTTATTCAATGAAATCTGACCAATTAAGTTATAAAAATGCGTTTTTAGAAAGGCCAATTTGATATGAAAAGCAGTAGATCAGTTAACCATAAAATCATACTTAATTAATTTCACTTACAAATGTCTACTCTGAATCTATTTTAATTTAAGTTAAATTTCGCCAAAAAAGCAATGGAGTTGTAATTGGGCACACATTCTTAAAATATAATCAACTGTCTGTTTGAATGTCAACATACACGAAACAATTATATTATGTATATCTTTAAATAAAACAAAACAAAATATAAAGAAATTTAAAAGGATTTTGCACTTTCAATATAACAAAATAATTCTCAGACTGAAATTATAAATGTCAATACCAGTTTATATGTTCCTAGAATGTCGCGCCATAATTTTAAATGGGGTGCCTCTAGATTGGACATTAGCGTGTGGTCTATATGACAGCACGGCATTGATTAACGTCCCTGCTTTACAGAACACAAATCTGTGCAGAATCGAACCCTGGTTTATTTTGGTACAGACGTGTGACACTCCGTATACATAAAAACGATTTCCGTATGGGTTTAGGATAGTAAGATTTCTGTATGGGTTTAGGATAGTAAGATTTCTGTATGGGGTTAGGATAGTAAGTTTCCATAATCATTACCTGTTACACGTGTGCCTGTATACTACAGCTAGGGATGCAGGGTGAAGTTATATCTAATGAAAAGACAAAAGTCATGTTTGCGACGGAAACATTGGAATTTCAGCACAGTTTACCTGGAAGGCTGACAATTGCATAATTATTTTTCACTGAAATAAACTCTTTTGGTTTCCTTCTTGGAAATTTATGTGAGCAAAAATAATGCATTATTTAAGGATGGAAATATGTGGAAATTCTGCCGTTAGCAAGCCTTTATTACGACACCAAATTCTAACTCCCGGCCGGAATTACCAAAACCTTCACAGCTTTAAAATATTTATTATAATTAAACATATTTCAGATCATTTAAAGAGATTCATTAACATAAGCATAATAATATTATCAAATAAATTTTCTTTTTAAATCGATGATTTGCAATTTTTAGCAAGGTCGAGTCTCTCAGCGCCCTATATCTCAAACAAAAAACAGTTTCAAAGTGTTCTGCATTTTTTTTCCAATTTAAAACCGTTTGCCCATTTACTATACCAAAGAGTTACACATGTACGAATTATATTCATTATTGATTCCCTGTAACATAAAAAACAACATCTTGCGACTGTTACAAGAGTTTGTTCCCCTTTTTAAACTCGTTTACATGATATAAAAGTGAATAGACACTCTACCCTTGGATACAGACGCAGTCTACATTACATTTGTTCAGGAAATGATCATGAGTACTGTAAACGAGTTTAATCGAAGTCATATAAATACTAACATCTTTACATCACATATTCTTATGAAGTACCTGTACAAAACGCACCTTACATTGTAATAAAATTTCAGAAACAACCATACGTATCACACAAGTGAAAAATGTGTATGTTACAAAAAACACAGTTATTGGATGCTCACAACAATAAAGACAGATATATAAATCAATATGATAACAAATAAATATTATTGTATTCCTTTTACAACAGTACAAGGTAAAAATGACTTTAAAACAGCCCTGTTTCGTCTTATAAAATATACATTTTTCAAACAAATAAAAAGAGGAATTATATCCGCAGCGAATTAATACATATTTGTATTCATTATCACAGACTGCATTTGTACGACAACTAAATTACGATAACATTGTAAAATATATCAAATCTCAAAATAAATAGAATAAAAAGCTTTATATCATTTGCAAACTTATAATTTATACAAAAACTCCAACTTATTATTTTCCTTAAAACATAAATCATTGTATGGCAGGAAACTTTCGCCCTACGCCGGTAAAGTTCATATTTACCAAGTGTTAATATCGCTTGTCCAATTTGATCACTATGCCTACTACGCTGTTTTAATATTCTATGTTATGACAAAACACAAGTTTGAATTGCCGCGAGAGTTTCACGGTATACAGTATCAAACACATTTCCTTCGGATACCAAATCATGGCAAATAGTCATAATTCTTTGTTTTTATTTGTCATTTACAGCATCAATCTACACTCAGTGTTTTATATATGTTAAATAAGGACTTGCTAAAGATAATTTCACACACAGAAGCTTAATGTCCTCATTGTTAACTGATAGTTTCCCTATTGAATGGTCAACGAAAGTAAAATAAAAACATCTTAAAAATGGCTAGTTTAAAAAAAAATCATCTTGCTCCTTTATTATTCGGATTAAAAGTGTTGAAAAATATCTCGAATACCATATAGTGTTATTTGCTTGTGTTGTGTAAACATATATTTTCCAATTTTGTGGAAATTTTCCCCATCAAAATCATAAGGGTCTCTCTTAAAAAAAATACTGCATATTTTTAAATGAGTTTTTAACCGTTGAATTTCAGGAATTACACACCATTCAATAACACGTTATTTTTTGTTTGTTTGACTGATTTGACATTTTATTAAATAATAGCATACATAATCACATTCAATGCTTTAAATAGTCTCAGCAGTAGGAAGATGAAGCTCGTAACGCCGTACAAACACATACAAATATCATTCCAGGTAATATTTACTTATATTAGACTAGGGGGTTCCCGTTAAAGCACAACGGAAGACAGCATTTGAGATCTATTATTCCTACTGGAAGCATAGGATTTTATACTATTGAATTTCATACTATAAATAAAGTCTGAATACCTTTACACATCTTGTGAAAAAAAGTCATTTTCAAGAATTGAATATTTTGTAAAATTCAATGTTAATACATTTTCTTAAATTAATGATGTAATGATATACAGTCTGCATTCGTCAGTCCAATCATCAAGTATACAGTTGTCACAAAATCTAAGTAGAAATTAAAAGCATTTTAGACTTTTTCTACGCGGAATTATCTCAGTACTTTTGCTAGGACGAAGATCGCTGGATTATATAAATGAGCACTTAATTTAAAATTGATATTTCTAAACAGCTTTTTTTACATTGATGTTGGAAAATTGAAAATAAATGTGGTAACCGAGTTGAATTTCACTGTTTTTTTGAACACGAATGTTCATTGTCCTGTAAAATTTTCGATTCACTTTTACACAAAAACAACAAAAAATTGCATTCCTGCAAAAACAACCTTTGATAAAACAGTCCTATGATAAACAATTTTTTCCAGTGATGCAAAATTTTGAAAATTCCATTTAAATTTACGCTATGAATCGGCCACATTATTTGTTGTAAAAGAATTAAATATAAACTGTTTTATGACACAAGAAATTGTTACCTATAATATTAAAGTGTAAAGAATATTTTCAATTATATATCTATTGAAGGCATAGATCGAAAAGTATCTGATTCGATACAGATTCAAAGCAATTTACGGTTTATGCCACAATAGAGAAAAATATGCAAATAAAAAAAAAAAAAAAAAAAAAAAAAAATAGAAAACAAATTTAATGTTTGGTATCAACATTTGTATTCATAAAAAAAGGATTTTCATTGATTTTCAGCATGATCGACACCCATTTGTAGTTATAATACAGAAATAACTGGTAAAGATATTATACATAACATGACATCATGACGCAATCCCCTTATATTTGGTACTTCAAAATCTTTTCTCAACCAGCTTTAAGCTAACCAGCAGCATAATTCTGATATCTTGGTGTGGTTTAGGACGGATCTATTACCAATTCAAGGGGTTGTCAACTTTTACTCTTGCTTCGTATACATGGACAAAACATATCAAAAGCCATACATTTACCTATTCCGGCAATCAAAGTGCATAAATAGCATCAAAACCCGAACCCATTTTGTATCATTCTAGCATTGATATCTAGATTTTAAAACTATCATTTCTGGAATTTTTGAACTTCTTATACAGGAAAAACTGAACCCTAATATTTCACACCTTTTGTATATCTAGCGAAGCCGATAATCACTGGGAATTCCCCTTTAGTTTAGGTATTGCTCCCTAATTTCCAACCCTTACACTGAGACAGATATACATTTCATTCCACAACTTATCTAAAAAAGAAGAAAACAGAATACTGTCAAACTACACACATAAATGTTACTGAGGAATTCTTTCACCACCGATTCTTACAATGGCATCCATAGAGATTGTCAGGTGGTCTGTTGAGTATTGTTCGTTATCCTATCCTAGTGTACGTGTCAAAGAACGATACCTCTCTTTGAACAAAACTCCTGAAATCTCTGCTGCTCTAATTCTGTCATGGCTTTATTCAGGGCATAGATCTGAAAAAGTTGAATAAATAGTTTTGTTAAAAAAAACATTATTTGTATATACAGGCAAAGTAAATTTCATATTCGAACGTTGTTGTTTACTGATAGAGATGTATCTCAAAATGAATTGTACAAAGACTATTCCGTCTTTGCGTATTGCAGAGTTATCCTCTCTTGAGAGCAGGTATTGGCTGTTACGTCATTGGTTCGTGTGAGAAAATTACGTGGTTTTCTCAAAAATTGATGACTTTACTCTCACAAACAAATGACGTACCAATCAATACCTGCTCTCAAGAGAAGATAACTCTGCAATACGCAAAGACGGAATTGGTACATCTGGATAAAAAATAATTAACTGCTGCGTTATCTACTGACAAAAACCACGAACGTTTGATTGCTGTTACTGTTAATCATACATTTACACATACAATACATGTCAAACAGTGATAACTTCATCATAACTGAATACTAATTTATTGCGTCAATAATCGAAATTCTATATACCTCATTTCTTTGTCTTATCTTTAATTCTTTCTCTCTGTCCTTCATTTGAAGCTTTTCCTGTCTTGCCTTTTCTTCCTTCTGTCTCTCAGTCTTTTTGCTCGCTTCCTTTTCTAGCACCTGCAATTTTAACTTGACGGCCCTTTGTGCCTGCGGACCATATAAGGGAATAAATAAAGCAATTTGACATAATCCAGAAAATTAAATAAAATGAGCACATGTATAACATCGGATGATACATGATTCAATTGAAAAACTGGAGAGTGAAACATTTAAGAATAGCTGTAAAAGTGTGTAAATTGGAGTAATCGAGAAAAGGTCGGTTTAACCATAAATAAGTTAGACAATTGCGTTAATTAACATGAATATATTAGAGAGCTGTTTAAACTGACGTCACAGACAATACAGCAAAATGAGCAACAGTAATAATGACATATTAACAAGATTTTGCGAGATACCAGACCAATTAATGTACTTTTCCCTATGTGGAATGCATTAAACAACGGAAGTTAGGAACATTAAAATTAAAATTATTTCTTCCAAAACAGCATCTGAATGGACAACTTTAATAATAATAATAATATTATTAAATCATTTTCAAACGTATATCTTCAACTTACAATGTAAAACACAACTATTAAATCAAATAATATTCAACTAACCCTTATGTCATTCATACTCGGCACATATTCCACCTTTTTCAGTTGATCTGAAAAATTAAGAAGATTATTTTTAATTCGACAGGCAGGATAAAATGTTGTTTCTCTAATATTAATTAATGTTGTAGAAACATGTTGTGTACTGTTGTATTATTATAGTATATTTACATTTGCCCCCGCGCCATCCCATTACAACAGTGTTAGAGTGCAAGTGTAATTATATAGGCTATAATTACAACTGCTCGACTATAACTACAACTGCCTGTTTCAGGTGTAGGAATATGTAAACCAACAAAATGGCCGCCTGAAATGTATTTTGAGGCAGGGCAAATGGTTTTTGTAGGAATATGTCTTAAAAAAGAAAAACATGTAAATATAAAAATACCTGGTTGTCTGGATGTAATTATTGTCGATATAATTACAAGTGGCCTCTGGCATATCTACCATAAAACCCTGGCGGGTTTTATGGGATTTGCCAGAGGCCACTTGTAATTATATCAACAATAATTACATCCAGACAACCAGTTATTGTTTAAATGTCCACATCCCTCTGGAACGCCTGGTCGTCCCGTACTTGTTTCGAATGTTTATTCCGTCTTTGCGTATTGCAGAGTTATCTTCTCTTCTGAGCAGGTATTGATTGTTACGTCATTTGTTTGTTAAATTAACGTCATCAATTTTTGAGAAAACGACGTAATTTTCTCACACAAACCAATCACGTAACAATCAATACCTGCTCACAAGAGAAGATATCTCTGCAAATCGCCAATACGCAAAGACGGAATAACGTATAATAGATTTACCGATGTTGAGTTGTAATAACAGTTTCGCTGATGTTTAGTATTTCTTGATGATTCGATGACCACGACACATTTAACTGGGGTTTATCTATAGCTAGTGGGCATATATGTGTGAATATTGGATTTTAGTTGCTGATTCACCTCAGGTCAGTCTGTCACTGTCATCTTTTATTCTGAATAAGGGCAAGGAACAGATATCATACTGGACTCGCAACAAGTGGCTATATACCAGCTTAAAGTTAGAGGACTCAGTATAACAGTGTCATACATTTGTTTGTTTAGTGTTTTGTATATAAAATCGATATTGAAAATTGATATCACTATAAAATAATTTAATTACCATTTTTTTTTTTTAGATTTATGTTAATTACTATGTTTTGATTATTTACCATATCACAACTGTCAGTATTCATTAACCAGATCAGAATGTTCATATCAGTTTTTAAGAGAAAAGTCATATGATAAGTAAATAGATAGTGTCTTACCTGACGACACAAATGTGTTTTCCTTAGCAGCAACATTGACCAGGGTTACGCGGGATTGTTCAGATACTTTCGGTAAGTGTACCGTTGCAACTCTTAGTGAAGAGTTGCCTTTAAGTTTAATGCCAGTATTTCCCATTGTGTAAAACATTTTGAATAGTTTTGAAGGTAACTGTCACCTGCATATATCGCCCAGTGTTCAGTATTTAGAGCTTGTCCTAGGCTATCCTACAGGCATAACAATGAGCGATAATTTAATGAAACTCAGTGAATGCTCATTGTCGATGATCATACATGCAGGTTATAATAAAAAAAATCCTTTAAGGTATGCATTTAATCGCAGTTTTTCCTTTTGTGCTATACGTTTAAATACCGTCACTGCTTAGTGCCGTTTGTTAAAACATTTCCTCTATATGAATGTTTTGTTCACAATAAGAAATCCAAAGTATAGCTGATTCAGAAGAAGAACTGCTTTCCAAACATGTCACTGTATTTTTCACCAAACAAATTATACTACATGTATATCTTCTTCACTTTATGGAAACACTACACTGGCATCTTTTGTTTTATGTAATCAGCCAATCTTATTTCCTTGAGTCAAGATCACTGGTGCTATTTTCTGGTGCATTTCTATACATGTAGTAAGCATGTACAATTAAACCCAGCTATTTCTAATCCGGTTGTTGTCAATTGCAGTGTCTAGGTACAGCACAACGATCATTATCTTTTTTCAATTCCCAAATTATCTCCACCATTTTATCCGGGAACAACGAATTACTGGCTGGATTATCGATGTTTGATTATAATCCCACCTTATACATTATTTCACATGATCATTCTACTTCACTATTACTACTCCTTAGTCAATGTAACCGTTCTGTTCAAGCTCAACTTTTGTCTCTTTTCCAAAATCGTAATTGACTAAAAATGACATGAGCTAACATCTATACAGAACAAATTTCGAGGGTCCCTATCTGTTACCATTATATGCTGTGTATAAATGAGTTATATAACTCTAAAATACTCCCCGGACAGCTTTTTTTACAATATGAGCACCACTAAAATAAAAACGGCATGGACATCAGCCAAAACGTTTTCAATTTTTAACTAACACGAGAATCAATTATGTTATTTCAGAGGAGAAAATGGGAAAACATTCAACTGAAAAACAAAGAAGGCGGATGTTTTAATAGATAAAATTTCAAAACACAAGTTTTATGTGTATAAGTTTGTTTTGTCCAGTTAACAAAAGTGCAACCCTGGGTTATTCTATTGATATTTTTATAAATAACTGTGATTATAGAATTCTCCTGTAGGATCCCTTTCATGTAACATTGATCCTTAGTGGGAGGCTTATGTGTTAAGCTATACACCTTGAGGTAAACCAGAAACAATATACCTGCCTTGTTAATCATTTATACATGTAGTAAAGTGCTGAATTGGTTAACAGGACATACGGTAGCTATCGGGGTTCTTTGGTGACTCAGCTATTTAAGGTATGCCTATTGGATATCTGTTGAATCAAAAGTTTTATCCACTTGCACATGTAGTGCAATAAACTATAAGTAAGCAGCACGAATTTTGAGAACCATGCATTTTATCTAGCTTTTGAATATAGCAACTTATTTTTTGTATTTTTGTAAACAGACAATGTGCAAAAATATATAAGTCACTTACTTTGAAAGGGGTACTTGAAGTATACTGTATGACGTTTCTGTTTCTTTAATTTTTCATTTTTATATCACTTTGAGTTAAAAATTAAGATTATATTTAAATACTATCAGCATACCTCTACGTTTATAATTCAATATTGATAAATGACGATTACGTTTTTAGGTCACCTGCCAGAATGGTAAGCCACTGAAGAGCTGTAGCAGGCTTGAATGTAAACCAATTGCAAGACCAATTCAATATATAACCTTGACCGGTTTTCACGGTCACCGGGGTCACTTGTCAAAACCAATCAAACTAAGTTTTATGAACATGAGGTCTAGGATCAAGATATTTGGCGAGTAGCATCCAACTGATCGAAATAGCGTAACTTGGCTCATTTTCAAAGTCTGAGGGGTCACATGTGTCAAATCTTTAAACCGCTTTACCTGATTAAACATGCAGGAGTCCTAGGGTGATAATACTGGTCAGTAGATTACTAGAACGAATATCTTTCAGGTTTGTTCAAATAAAAGACCTTGGCCTACTTTCAAAGTAGTAGGTGTCAAATGAGTTAATTTTTTAGGTCACCTGAGACAAAGTCTCAAGTGACCTATTGCGATCGCCTTTCGTCCGTCGTGCGTCCGTAAACAATTTACATTTTCGACTTCTTCTCCAAAACCCCTGAACCAATTTCAATGAAATTTTGCAGGGACCTTCCATGGACAAAGGTCAACAAAAA